CTTCAACTCCCAGAATTCCCCAGCCAGCATGCTGGCTGGGGAATTCTGGGAATTGAAGTCCGCCCATCTTAAAGTCGCCAAAGTTGAAAGATACTGTACTAACCTGTCAATAAGCTAATTACTGTTATATTTATTTATTTGATTTTTATTTTGAGTCCACTCAGGGCAGCTTCCATACCTAAGGCTCCTGCTTCCTGTTTTCCCCACAACAACAATGCTGTGAGGAAGATGACCTTGACGGAGAGATGCAAGATCCATTACCAAAGTGAGAAGGGGTGAAACATATCTAAATCCCCCACGGAGAGAAAATATACCAAAGAGGCTGGAACAGACACCTCCCTAATTCACTGAGCTATAAGGAGGAGGAGGTCCAGCACAAACAGATTTGCAAGACTGATGTCAGTCCCACCAGATAAGCCAGATCAGGAGATCAACTCCACAGGAAAGCTAAAACTACTTTTATTAAGGGTTGCTATAACAACAGAATGTTGCACCTCCTTCTGAGAGTTTAGTGAAGTAGGGAGCTGTCTGTTTGAGCCTCTTCCGCATATTTTCTGTCTGTTGAGGACTTAAGATATTTCAGCCCTCGTCACTTTGGTAACAGATTTGCACATCTCCATCAAGGTCATCTTCCTTACTCTCTACAGTTTGCATGTTGAGCAGAGAGACCTGGTGTGGTTTAATGGTGAAGGGCTTGGAGAGACTCGGATTTAAGTCCATCATCATCCGTAGAAACTCCCTGAGTGATTTGGTGCCAGTCGCTTTCTCTCAGCTCAACCTACCTCTCAGGGTTGTTGTTGGGAAAAGTGACAGGGAGGACTATGTAGGTACCATATACGTCTAATAAATAAATAAATAAATATCTGCCTTAAATTCCTGAAGGAAAGATGGGTGTAAATTTAATAAATAAACTGTTACATTTGTAACTGAGCTGGTTCCATTACATGTCTTCTTTACAGTTTATGATTTAGTGTGTTGTTGGAATCTAGTCATTGTTTTCACATGTGTGAATTAGATCATTACATTAACCATAAATGTGGTTTATTTGTTTGGGCATTGTGTGTTCTGTGAACACAGCCATTGACTGGTTCTTACAACATGCTTAATTTAATCACTCAGTTAACTCATTTTCTGTGTTAATTGAGTTAATTTTCAAGGATAAGCCAGCAGTACTCAAACTGGCTTGCCAGCTAATGTGAAGGTCATCTCAAATTTTGGGTGGGTTGTGCGTGCAAAAACAGGATTGCTGCCAGAACTCCTGCCATGCCTGAACAAGCCAGCAGCTGTCTTGGTCTGCATGAACCCCTGAACAAGTTATAAGAGGGCTCCAACTTTACCCTCTGCAAACCCAACATCATTCAAAGGCAAAACTGGATCATTGAATCACTTCTGTCCTGCCTGGACAAACTGGCAGCAATGTCAGGTTTTTAATAGTTGCAGCTTGTGGAGCCAATATTAACCTAAAGTAACAGTGGAATGAGAGATGAGAATGGCTGTCTTAACAATAAAATTATCCAAATTTAACAAGCTCACCCTTCCCACTTAAAATTGATTTGGGGGAGTTTATTTCAAATGAAAAAGTTTTATAAAGTTGAAAGATGTGTTGCATGGACATAATTGGTTTCTCAGCTTCCTCCTGCCTTCAGATATTCCTGGCTGGGTTAGGGAAGGGAAAGAGAGTTACGTATAATACATTGATATTAAATTTTCAGAAATCAAATTTGATGATTGAGGGTGCTGTATATTTTCTATCATAACATTCCCTCCACTGCTTTTCATGGGAATTTAGGATGGGGAAGGCAGACTAGAGAAAAACCCTGACCCATGAAACAGATGGGTAGACTGGAGATGTTTGAGAGAAATTTAAGTTTCTTTTCACAAAATCTAATACAAAAAGCAGCTGGAGAAAGGTTTTATTTAGAAATTATGAATTTTGCCCACTGTCTTCCCACCTCTGGAGCAAAGATGTGGATTTGGGGGAAAAGGAAAACTTCTCACATGGTAGAAGGAAGGAGTTGGAGGGATGAAGTTGGAGGGCAGTGATTTCCCCATAGAAAGGTGTGTTGAAGTTGGAGAGGAGAGTAACCAAAAATGTGACTCTACTTCTGAGCCCCAAAGATAGAAATTTCAAAAGAAGAGCAGTGGCCATAAAAATCAGAACTACTGGAGGAAATTGGGAGTCAGCTCTTTTGAAAGGTGAAGACATGGTGCATTTTGGCCCTCCAAAGGAGAGGAACTGAAACTCTCAGGAATGGCAGACTTAGTTGGGGTTTGAGCAGAATTGTAAAATGGCCCTCCTACTCAGGTATTTGTGAATGCTGTGAAGAAATGCAGTAGAGGTGGTTAAACCAGGAGCTTTGCTGTTTTATCACAAATTTCAGGTGAAAACCATGCTACTTGTTGAGGAAAGTCTGTGCAATAACTGAGCCAGGGTCAATGTTTTCATGCTAATTTGTGTTTCTAAATTTCTTTAAGCTGTTTCAATTGATATTTTATGATCAAGATTGAATGTAAAACAGTGTAAACATAGTGGGATTCTGATTTAATTACTTAATTTTATTTCCCTCTCTTTAGTCCCCCCCTCCCAGACAGCAAAGTTGTAATGTTATTTTCCTTCAAGCAAGTTAATATGCATTGGTTTCTGTACCCTCCTTTAGCTTTTTGTGTGTGACAAGGTTTAAACATTGAAATTACTATAATTAGAGACTGTTCAATTAGAGAGACTTCATTGCTGCTGCACCACAGATTTTTAAAGAACAAGGAAAAAAAATACAAGCTGTGTATATATGTGTACACTCTCTCTCTCTCTCAGATATTTCTTCTTTTCTCTAAGAATTTTCCATCTAAGCCTCTTTGCTAATGGAGTTATTGAATAGAATTGGGCATTTTCTTTCTTCGGTGAATTTACTAGATTGAAAGTGAGTTACAGTATTCGCTCCACAGGTGCTTCTTTTGTTCTGAGAAGGAAAGCTTAAATCCAAGCTTATAATTTGAATTTCAAATCAGCCTCTTCGCATTGAAATATGACAATATCTGAGTATGAGCCAGCTGTGTGAATGAAATACAATGTTTGCAATCTGTCAAAAGGGCTATCCTGCTAGGGGAAGGCTCTTGTAATGCTTAAGAAATGAGATCACCCATCTATAGTTTTCTTGGTTAAATGGAGGCAGGTTCACCATCACACTAAGTGAATCAATATATTATAGCTTGTTCAACAATAAATCATGCTTTAAAAAATTAGCTTAATGTTAAATGCAAACTCATTCAGAGGCTCCCAAAGAACTAATTCAGGCAGGGATATACAACCACAGTCCCCAGGGCTGAATGCACGTTCTCCCAGAACCCCACCAAAAGTAGGTGCTGGTTTGTACTTTTCAGTGTGAAAGAGGAAATTACATAAGAGTTGGGGAAGCCATATTTAATTTATTTGTCATTACATCTAAATGAGCTCAAATAAAAATTTTGCTGATTTTGGGAGTTTTACTTCCAGCATGTCCCTTTAAATCAGAACGTTGTCCTGGGACAAAAAACAATGCACACCATAGTACTACAGAAAGACATTTCATTGATGGTTCCCCCCCCCTTTTTTTTCTCCTAGCCTTGGTGAACAATATTACAAGGATGCAATGGAGCAGTGCCATAATTACAATGCCCGGCTGTGTGCCGAGAGGAGTGTTCGATTACCATTCCTGGATTCACAGACTGGGGTGGCGCAGAGTAACTGCTACATTTGGATGGAGAAGCGGCACAGGGGACCAGGTTGGGTATAAGGATGGCATATGAAAACCTGGGTTCTGACTGGGATGTCAGTTCCGTGATGTCAGTTTGAGGCAGCGGCTTCCCTGCTTAAGTTCATTTAAGTATGTATGTGGGATCTGGGACTGAAACCAGGTCTCACTTTCCTCATGAAACCCATTTGCTCATGGTAGGAAGTTGCTGTATGATTTCCGGGGGGGGGGGGGGGGGGCCGC